CACAGGGAAAAAAACAAAGGCGTCTCTGTACATAAAGAGCACCACAGGCTCTATACGACGGAAGACGGTAAGCACAGCAGAACGATTCCTATACCACTTCACAATACTCGAAATTGAAAATGTGAGTTGTTTTTTTTTTTTTTTTTTTTTTTTTTGGGAATGTGCGGTGTTCCACCACACCCCAATGACGGCCGCCGGAGTTTTCACATTCCGTTTTTTTTCAATATATTTTTTATTTTTTTTGACGAAGGCTGGGAGCAGATACCTGGGCGCTTGGTTATTTCTGTGCAGTATGAGGGCAGCAGAAAGAGGGTAAGAGAGAGGTCAGGAGTGAGCGCCGCAGTTTATGGGTGGAACACTACCGGTAGGTTCCGCTGCCTGGAGTTAGGGTTTAGGGTTTAGGCCATGGCAACCGCAGACCCGGACCCAGACCCGGACATGTGTGGACCGAGGCCCAGACATTTGTCTGGACTGGTCCAGACGTCCGGTAATCCGGACAGGCACCGGACAACCAGACAGGACAGGACCCGGATCGTCCGGACTGGTACACCAGACACAAAAATGTCCGGACCGAGAAAAAACAAACAAACAAAAAAAAACAAAAACAAAAAAAAAAACAGTAGTAATAAGCAGTACAAACCACAGCTTACGGTCACAGACATCCACAAAGGCTCACACAACACTTGAAACCAGTTCTCGACAGACCAATCCCAAGTTACGTCAGAAAAGAGTACGAAACTCAGGAAAAAACAGAACTTTGAACTTTGAAGTTAGGGCATACTCAGGGCATACTCACACTAGAGGTTTTTTTTGCTAAATGGCAAAATCTGCTATGCTGTTAGAGTCACACTAGGGAAACGGGGTAGCATTTGTCAGCGGCCTGGGGGGCCGCGGGGATGGGCATTTTGCCACCACCTCGAGAGGTGGTGGCAAATTCTCTTTTGGCCGTCGCAAGCCTTTTGGGAATTGTTAAAAAAAAAATTCCGCGCTTTGTGACCATGATAGGCAGCAATTTTGCAATTGCCAGAGAGTCCCGCTCGTGTCCTTTGTGATTTGCAACCCATGTGTGACCGGGCGGGGTACTATCTCAGCAAACACGGGAAAGAAAATTCAGCAGATTTTGCTAGATTGCCACCGCTGTGTGAGTACGCCCTCACACTAGCGTTTTTTTTTGCTAAATCGCAAAATCTGCTATGCTGTTAGAGTCACACTAGGGTTTTCCGACCACCAAAATTGCAAACGGGGTAGTATTTGTCAGCGGCCTGGGGGGGCTGCGGGGATGGGCATTTTGCCACCACCTCGAGAGGTGGTGGCAAATTCTCTTTTGGCCATCGCAAAGCCTTTTGGGAATTGTTAAAAAAAAATCCGCGCTTTGTGACCATGATAGGCAGCAATGTTGCAATTGCCAGAGAGTCCCGCTCGTGTCCTTTGTGATTTGCAACCCATGTGTGACTGGGCGGGGTACTATTTCAGCAAACATGGGAAAGAAAATTCAGCAGATTTTGCTAGATTGCCACCGCTGTATGAGTACGCCCTTAGACTTTCTAATACTTCATATTCATATGGAAAATTTAAAATTTTAACTGTTAAGTTATTCAGATCTGCGTAAGAACAGGAAAAAAAAAAGAAAAGAATAAAAGAAAAAAAAATAGAGATCTGGTCAGGACGAGATCCAAGGCGGAATCTCAGATCTGACCAAAATCATTAATCTCTCTCTCTCTCTCTCTCTCTCTCTCTCTCTCTAGGTTGATGTTCTGTGGTGCTTTGCAGACAGCGCTTCATTTTCTGAATTGGACTCATCCTCATCCGATGAACTACCAGTGTAGTACAACAGCAGGGGGAGCTGTTGGCAGCGTCTGGCCGCGTCCGGTAGGCCCTGAAACGGCTAAAAAATACCGGGGGCATTTTTTGGGGGCAGCCTAGGACCCAAAAACGTCCTAGGCCCCCCCAAATTTTTTTTTGAATTTTTCAAAATTGGGCCCAATCCAGACCTACCGGACCAGACACCGGACCCATACCCAGACAACCGGACCATCTGGATTCCGGTCCTGACGTCCGGCCGGTTGCCATGGTTTAGGCAGAATCAAGCTTTCTTCTGCAGGCAAGTTTCAGTTTTTGCAGCCCTTTGAGGCAGCTACCTGGGTGCCTAACCCCCCAGGGCCGGTTGCTGTGTACTGCAACACCACGATGAACATTGAACAGTGCGCAGGCGTGAACTGGCGTTTTAAATCACCAGTACTTCAGAGGCACTTTTTCGCCATGCGCGCCAAAAAGAAGGGAAGCGGAATGACCTCCTTTTGGCTGGCGCCAGCGCGCTGCCAGTCATTCTGCTCCGGAGGCCGAGCCCCGAAAGTTGCGGCACTACCAGTACTTCCGACACACTTTTCTCGGACCCTCAAAATGCCCTGCGCGCCAAAAAGAAGCCCAGTGTCGCGCCCTCCTTTTGGCTGGCGCTGCCAGTCATTTCGCTTCGGAGGCTGAGGCCCGAAAGTTGATTCGCGAATACGGCATCAGGCTCGCCCCCGATGTATGGGGCAAGTACTACTGGTGGTTTAAGTCTTTGAATTTCTTGCACGTCTTTCAAGGGGGTTGGTCCCCTGCAGGCCTCTCAGCTCTGTCCCTGTAAGCTAAACTGGGTAGATGGTTCCTTTTCCATGACACTGTAGACTGCGAAAGCCCCGGCCTCGACATCGTTATTGGCAGTGAAGTTTATGCTCAAAAGGTACACATGAAGTCGCCTTCACAGACGAGTTCTTCTCGCCTTGCTGGGACTTCATGTATATCTTTTGAGCATAGTTGTCCGTTCAGGAGACTTTGGAGTCTCGCTTTCTTCTTCTTCTTCTTTGAGTTATGCCCTTGCCTACCTTCTTCCCTTGAATACAACGTACGGTCATTATAGCTGTATTGACACTGAAAGCTACCACAAATTCAGCTATAATGACCGTACTTTGTATTCGGGGGAAGATTGTAGGCCTGTGCCTTTGACTATCTCATGACTCCATGCGTGCGTGTGTGTGCGACTCCTGGACTTCGTGTGTGTCTGTGTGTGTCATAGTGTGTGTGTGTGTGTGCGTGTGTGTGTGTGTGTG